CTGCTGGAAACATGGCCCCTGGTCACTACCTGGCCACACTCCAGCACGGGCCCATATGGAGCCCGAGTCCCCTGGGCAGCTCTTCCTCAGGCCACCGCTGCCTGCGATGTCCCCACCACACCAGGCGGCCGAAACCCCACCAGCTCAGGGGTGCTGCGTTTGGCTCCCCAGTGAGGAAGGCTCCGGGGTCTGCCCGCTAGCAGAGGGCAGCAGCCGCCCGTGGGGGCCTTCTAGACCAGAGGCTGAGGTGGAGGACCTGAGCCTGGGCACCCCTGTCCCTGTCAGAGGCCACCAGCCCACCCCAGCTGTTGTTCCCTCTGCCAGGTGAGCACCCCGTGACACGCCAGGCAGGTCCCCTGAAAGGCTGAGGCAGGAGGATCATTGTGAGTTTGAGACCAGCCTGGGCTACAAAGTGAGCTCAAGGCCAGCTGAACTGCAGAGTGAGACCCTGTCTCAAAAGGGTCAAAAAACAAAAAAAAAAACAAAAAAAAACCCAAACCAAAACAACAACAAAAAACCCAACGTCTCCTGGCCTGGGGCCTGATTATGTCTGAGGGAACTTGGAGACTGGGGGAGGAAAGAACTAAGCCAATACTTCCCTTCCTGCTGCCAAAAATCCTTCAGACAATTGAGAGGGCTTTTAGGAATTACTCTTTCTGTTGCCTATGGATTCCATCGTATGGGGAGATATCCCAGCCCCTTTATCACGTAGTAGAAGAAACTCAGGCTAGGCATGGTGGTGCACACCTGCTGTCCCAGCACTCGGGAGGCTGAGGCAGGATGATCACAGCAAACTCAAGGCCAGCCTGGGCTACATAGCATTTGAGGCCTGCCTGAACTGCAGAGTGAGGCCCTGTCTCAAAACACAATCATTCCCAGGTTCGGCCTTGCGAAGAGTCTGCAAAGTGACCGCGGCCCCTTTTCCAAGGCGTCTCCCACACGCTAGGTGTTCTTTACTTTCGTTGTGTCTGGAGGCCCCAGTCATCAGGAAAGATGGGGAAAAAAATGAGTGAAACCCTAAAGAGACGCCTTTGAAGGCCGCCCAGGAGGCTCAGCCTGTCGTCCCCTCTACTTTACTGAGTGTGAGAGACTCACCTCCAACTCTAGGCTGAGTCCTTCTGAAATGATGACGGGGCCGATTTTAGCTCGTGGTCTCTCTGTTGACCAGGAAACGGCTGCCGTCTCCTCGTGGGCCAAATGTCAGCAAATTCTTCAGCAGCTAACGGACACCCAGCCTTGGGGACTGGGGCTCCCAGGGTTCCAGCCGGGGACCTGACACACGTGCTGTCTCTCCCCTCTCTGGAGCCGACCTGGGAGGGCCACGCCCCGTGATCCTTCCAGTCAGCGGTCCAGGTGTCGGGACTGGAGTCCTTGGCACACCGGTCCTGCCTGGCCTCACCGGCGGAAGCCTGACATTCCCGAAAACAGAACCCGCCCCCTGCGTGCTGCTGTGAGCCCATGGGAGACCTGAACCTCCACTGAAGAAGGAGAAGGTCGCTTCCTCATGTAAGTGACGCCAGCCTGTTGATTGTCCTGGTCATGGTGGCCTCTCTCATACAAACCGTGCAGGGAGAACGTCGCTCCTTCTTAGCCCAGGAGCACAGCGAGGCGGATCGCGGGGAAGCACGCCGGGTCTGCGATTCCCTCCAGCACCCAGCACTCAGGACGCCGGGTGGGTGCCCCCTCCAGGGACACGGCTGGAGCCGGTCGCGTGATCTCGCTGAGAGGACGCATCCCACCAAGGCAACTGAGTGGCCCGTCCATTCCAGGCCCAGGCGCAAGCAGACAGCGGCGGCCATGTGGTCACTGGCTGAGCCCCGGCCGAGCCCCGGTTGTCCAAGTCCTCGGGTCACAGCCTTGTCACAGACCGAACAATCGAAGATATCAATCGGATATTTTCCAGCGTGGGACAGCTGTGTACGGCCAGGTGGGGCGAAACATTGCCCAGCCAGCGCTCCGACGCCCATGGGCCAGAAGTGTCTTCCGCTGGTGTGACCCCCAGCACCCTCTCACCCCCGCCCCCAGATTAGAGGGTGTGAGTCACACACAGTCACTGCTAACTGCTCTCAGCAACCTCGCAGTGACTCCCTCCCCCAGGTCTGTCACACACCCATGCCCAGCTGATGAGACAGGCAGTTCTTCAACACCTGATGGCGTTAGATGTTTTAACAGCTGCCCAGGGCGGAGCCTGCACCACTACGAAAGCTGAGTGTTGCTTATATTCCTGATAACTTTCATCAGCCCCTCAAGACCTTTGCCAACGTGCTATGTCTAATCCAGGAATCCCTTGGGAAGCGTCTTGTCCCCACGTCACAGTGGGAGAAATGCCTGCTGGTTACTGGAGCGGTTATTCTTTTAGTGCTATTAGTTAGACCTTGTATATTTGATTGTGCAATACACTTAGTCTCTTCCAGACCCTTCTGCCTCAGCCTTCTAAGTGGCTCCTGCCAGTTTTTTGCAAGATGTTTTCAAGTTGCAAGCTGGGGTTGTTCCAGGCTGCTCAGAGAATTATTCCTGTTCTTGGATCTGCCTGGCCACTTTGGTGATGAATACAATTGATTAGCCTAAAAGGAAAGTGTAGATCAGTGGTAGCTGTCTCTCATGTAATTCTGTAGAAATGTGGTATTGTAAGGGTCCTGCTGCTCCAGGGCACATCCCTACCTTCCTGCAACGGGCTGACAGAGTTTTCAGCTTTGGAGACCAGGTTGTTGCTCAGGTCACTACTCTTATCCTAGAGGAAAAGCTACTGCAGGTAGAATGAATGTTCACGGCTGGGTGCCAATAAAACTTTATTCAAACAGGCACTGGAGCTAGGTGCAGTACCACATGCCTGTAATCCCAGCATTCTGAGAGGCTGAGCCAGGAGGATTGCAAGTTTGGATATCTTAGTGAGACCCTCAAAAAATAAAAAGGGCTGGGTATATAGCTCAGTGTGAAGCCACTGTGTTCAACTCCCAGTACCAAAACACCACCCAAAACCCAGAACCCCAAAATCAGGTGCAGCATTTGGCCAGAGGGCTGGAATTCACTGACCTCTGTCTGGCCATGGCCAGGAAAACGCCAGCCCCACTCCAGGAGTCATTTGAGCAGGCAGCCACTAGGTGGCAGCAGGGAGCCGGCTCCCAGGTCCCCAGTGTCTCCCACAGCGGGGGCAGCCCAGCATGGCCGAGGCACCTGTCAGGATGAAGTGGCTCTGACTCGCACACCTGTGCTCCCAGCAGGATGCTCCACAGCAGACTGAAGGTGGAAACGACCCAGTGTCCACCCACCGGTGGAGGGGAACAAGAGGAGTCTGTCTGCACACTGGAGCACGATGCAGCCAGGAAAAGGAAGTCCACAGCCTGGTTGGACCTTGAGGCCGGGCTGCTCAGGAGCCTAGCCAGACATAGAAGGTCACACACTGCAGGGTCCCTCTCCCAGGACGGCCCTGTGTGGTCAGAGCCACAGAGATGGAAGACGGGGACGCCGGGCTGGGGCAAGGAATGGGGGTCAGCATTTCCTGGGTGGAGGCTCAGCTGAGGGAGGTGAGAGAGGCCTGGAGGTGGAGGAGGGCTACGGGCTGGGTTTTCCCTTGCCAAATTCATTTGCTGAAACTCCAGCCCCCGGGTGATGGTGCTGAGAGGTGAGGGCTTGGAAGATTTTTTGTGTGTACATTATTGAGGGTTGAGTCCAGGGCCTTTGCATTTGGCTACATCTCCAGCCTTGTTCTTTTTTTCTTTTTGAGACAGGGTCTCACTATGTAGTTCAGGCTGGCCTTGAGTTCACTTTGTAGCCCAGGCTGTTCTTGAACTTGCAAGGATTCTCCTGCCTCAGCCTCCAGAGTGCTGGGATTACAGGTGTGTGCCACCATGTCCAGCTCTCCAGCTCTTTTTATTTTATTTATTTATTTCAATTTAAAAAAAGAGTCTAGTTAAGTTATCAAATTGCCCAGGCGGAGCTCTGCCTTGCGATCCTCCTGCCTAAGCCTCCCAAGTAGCTGGGATGCCAGGCACCCAGCACCTTTGGAGGGAGTTAGAGTCATATGGGAAGTGCCCCTCCTCCATTAGTGCCTCTGTAAGAAGTGGGAGAGGCCAGAGCTCGCCCTCCCTACTACAAGAGGACGGAGCCAGCAGGTGGCGTCCACAGCACAGAAGCTGGTCCTCCGCAGGAACTTGGCTCAGGCCACCCTGATCTTGTGGGCTTCTGGGCTCCAGAATTGACAAATAAAGGTTCGTGGTTTCAGCCCCAGCTGGGGGTCCTGTCGCAGCACCCAAACAGAGCTGCTGGTGGAGACTTGCACAGCACCAAGGATGTGCTTAAGGCTGCTCGAGTGGGCACTCAAAAACGCCAAAGATGGTCAGTTTGAATTTACATATATTTTGTCACAATAAAAAAAAAATTGGTGTTGGGCACAGTGGCACATGCTTGTGAGCATAGCCCTCAGGGAGGCTGAGGCAGGAGGGCTGCAAGTTCAGAGTCTTTTTGCTGAGCTATATCCCCAGCCTCTTTGTTATGTTTTATTTTAGGACCTTGGCTGAGTTGCCAAGGATGGCTATAGAATCCAGGCTGGCCTTGAGCTCCCAGTGATCCTCCTGCCTCAGCCTCCTGAGTGCTGGGGTGTCAGGCGTGTGCCACGACACACGGCTTCAGTTGTCATTGTTCAGAGTGACCCACAAATGTGTACACTGGCTCTCAGATTGAGAGTGGGCCATCCCGTGTGTGCACTACCGGGCATGGCCTCTGCCACAGAGCTGGAATTTTGGGCCCATCCTGGACTTGTGACCAGGACTGGTTTGTGCCTGGTGGTTCCCAGCCCTAATCTCCAGGTCAAGAAAATGCTGGTTGCTGACTGAGCCCTTTCCTGCTGCCTCAGCGGAATCTGGCCTGTCAGTTCTGCCTGCAGGATGAAGCGTGGCAGCAGGTGGCCCAGCCTGCTGGAAAGCTCCGTGCTGGGCAGAAGGCCTCATGGTCACAGTGTGCAGAGATCGGGGGCAGGGAGGGGGCAGGCAAGGAGTGGGACCTGGGGAACTGTATTTGCCCACTCTGTGTTAGTCTAATTAAATGCTGAGACTGGATCCTCTTAGAGAGGAGAAAAGGTTAGTGTGCGCCTGTCATCCCAGATCCTTAGGCGGCTGAGGCAGGCGAATCTCAACGATGCAGAAGGTGTGAACTAGCTGGGCCTATGTGTGGTGGTGCATGCTTGTAATCCCAGCATGCGGGAGGCTGGGGCAGGAGGATCCTTGCAAGTTCGAGGCCAGCCTGGACTACAAAGTGAGCTCAAGGTCAGCCTGAACTGCATAGTGAGACCCTGTCTCAAACACACACACACACACACACACACACACACACACACACACACACGGTGCAAACTCAATCTTACCATGGTGCTTAGAGGTGGGGCATTTAGTGGGTAATTAGGATTAGATAAAATCATCAGAGTAGAGCTATCATAGTTGAATTATGGTGGCTTTAAGGGAAGAGGGACAGAGGGCTGGGTGTAGTGGCATGTGCCTGTCGTCCCAGCACTCTGGGAGGCTGAAGCAGGAGAATCACAAGAGCAAGCCTAGCTTGGACAACTGAGTGACTTAAGAGGGCCCTGTCTGAAAATAATTTTTCAAAAACATAATGAGCCTAAACTCAAACCACACGCAAACCAAAGCGGAGCCCGTCTCCTGGAGGCACAGGTCCACGGATCCGGGAACAGGGTGTGGCACGGGTGAGCGTCATGGTTTGCATATGCAGTGATCCCCCAAAAGTCTGTGTCCAGGAGCCTTGGTCCCCTGTGCCACAGTGCCCAGCAGTGGGCCAGAAAGGTGACCAGGTCATGAGAGTGCTGACCTCGTTGGTGTTAGGGCAAGTGATGGACACAGGAGCTGGGGCCAGCTGGAGGAAGTGCTCACAGGGGCGATGGCCTTGGGGACACCGTCTGGTCCTCAGTTCCTTCCTGTCCAGCTCCTCCCCTCTCTCTGCTTCCTGGTCACGTGAGGCGAGCAGCTCTCTTCCGCCATGCCTCGGAGCTGCTTACCATGGCTGAACCCCCGGAGCCCACGAGCCACATTAACCCTCTCCTCCTCTAGTTCCACGGGGCACTTATGCATTTTGTCACAGTGACAAAGGTGACTGATAACAGAGTGTCTGTCCCCTGCCCGGCGTGTGCCACGGCACCGTGGGGGGACCTCTTTAGGAGGCACAGGGCAGGCAGATGTGCCCGCCGGGAGAGACCATCCAGGCATCCCCAGCTCTGCCGCGACTCGCTCTGGGAGTCCTCTGTAGCTTCAGCAGCCCCTGTCTGAGCCTGGCTGGAGATGAGCAGGGTGTCTGGGTGGCTGTGTAGGCAGTCCCGGGCCGCTCCAACCAGGCCAAGTGTGGCAGGCGGGCTGCTCCCAGTGGGTGTGGAAGGTTCTAGAATCCAGAGCCCCGGCTCGGTGGGGTCAGAAATGCCAGCCAGGGCCGAGCTGTGGACTCACGGGCATAGGTTCAGCAGCTCGTGTTCCAGAGGCCTGCTGCACCCCATCCGTGGGCACAGGGGTCCTGCCACAGGGCGACACAGATGGCAGAGCACAAGGCACCTGATAACGGATGTGTACGAGGGCCTGCAGTGTATTAGTCACACGTACGCTCAGCCGTGGGGGGAGGACACCGCGGGCCGCTGGGGCTGCCTGGGAACAGAGAGTTGTCAGGGTCTCGTGCGCAGCGGACGCTCCCTGATTACCAGCATTGCTGCGTTTGAGGGGCTCAGCCGCAGCGGCAGGCACATCAGTCTGGCCGAGTGACAGGGACAGCCACTTGCCTCTGGGGGGTGAAACAGGGTCTCACTGCGTAGCCCAGGCTGGCCTTCAACTCATGGTGATCGTCCTGCTTCAATTTCCCCTGTCCTGTGATTACAGACAAGTGCCACCATACCCGGCTTGTCACCTGCTTCTGGTAGGGCAGAGGTGACATTGTATGCGTCAGCCCAGCAGCAGGTGCGGGCGGCCAGCCGGGCCGAGCCAGGTCCACGGCAGCCGCATTCTTGACCCTACATGGGCAGGACACAGCAGCGGCTGTTAGTAACTGCGGTGCGCCGCCCCCCGGGTGCTGGGTGACGCTTCTATAAAGCCAGGCCCGCCAGCCCTGGGTGGCTCCTTCAGCCCCTGAGACCTTTAACCCCCTGTTGTGAGACAAAAAGAAAAGTAAGTACCAAAACCATTTCCCTCCTCGCCCTCCGCCCGGCCTCACCCAGAGCGTCGGCCCCTGGGCGGCCGCCTTAAAGTCGCACAGCAGACAGTGTGCACATGAGATGCCCGTTCACAGGGCGCGAGAAACACAGGTCCTCGGTGGCACCAGTTGTCCCAGGCAATTGGCTTGGTGGCCTTCAGGACAGCTCCGAACTGCCCCAGACTGGGGAAGATGGTGGGAAGAGGAGGAAAAGAGGCTGAGGCAGGACAGTCTGAGGACTGGACCTGCCCTCTAGCTCTCCTTACTCTAGGGTATGGAGCCGGAGACCCTTGGTCGGGGCCAGGTGGCCCCAAGAATGCATGTGTGCCTTGCTGTGGGGAGGGTAAATGACCAGGATTGAGGCGGGGTTCCTCCTATTTTGCTGCCCCCCATCCCAGCCCTATGAGATTTTTTATTTTGAAGGTTCTTTTTCTTTTCTTTCCTTGCGGTACTGGAGCTTGAACCCAGGGCCTTCACACTGAGCTGCATTCCCAGCCCTTTTCATTTTTTATAGGGTCTCCCTAAATTGCCCAGGTAGGTTTCAACTTGAGACCCTCCCGCCTCAGCCTCCCAGAGTGCTGGGCTGACAGGCATGCGCCACGACACCCAGCTTGAAGATATTTTTGTGGGAGCCCTGTGGGTGTTGATGGACCCCGAGGCACCCTTTGTAGGAGTTGCCAACCCTGCAATCCCTGTCTCCCTACCTCGAAGTGGGTAGAGCCCCTGTCTTCTCTGACGCCCAGTTTTGCCCAAGCCTTGTCGAAGCGCCTTGGGAGCTGGGGGAGCTGAGGCTGCTTCTTGGAATCCCTCAGCCCCCCTAAGAGTGCCAGGAAGATTTGGGGGGACTCGCGGGCTGTGGCAGAAAGCATGGAGCCATCTGAAGCTGTCAGCTTTTCTCTCTCCCAGTCTGCTCCTCCCCCTGATCCTGGAGGTTCCTGAGCCAGCCCCAGCGACCCCCCCTTAGTGGCCCGAGTGGGGTGGCCTTTGGAGGTGACTGTGTTGGCCCTGGCGGGGCCCTGGGGTGGGGGTGGCTGAGTAACTGCTGATTAAGGGGCCAGCTGAGTGCTACTTGATGTGGGTGACAGGTGCGGCCGCCGTCCCCGCTCCTGGTCTCTGTCCTCTCCTGACCAGGTGGGTGGTTTCCCTCCCTCTCCCCCATGGCCGTTAGGATTCGGCGGAGGCCTGAGTTCTGCCGGGGTGACCATCCAGGGGCTGAGTGAGCCTGTGGGGGAGCAGTGGGGATAGGGCACGTTTGTCCTGAGTGGGAGGTCATCAGGGTGTCCGTCTGCCCTTCCAGGGAGTGCTTGGGTGGGGTGAGATGTCCCAGCAGGAAGTGGGGTGCAGATCAGCTTCCTGATTGGTGAAGCTGCTGAGGAGCCTCACCCCAGCCAGGGGTCCCCGCAGCCCCCGGGACTCCTGGGACAATTTTCTAGGAGCCCTCGGCCAGGCCTGTGATCCTGGGCGCCCATCCCCCTTCTCCCAGGGGAGCACAGAAGGTCGCCTCTGAGCTCCCTGGCTGGGCAGGTGGCCTTTGTCCTTCTAGGCTGGGTTCCCTGAGATGGTGCGGCCCTGCAGGGACAAAAGAGGGGGCTGCCAGGCAGGGGGACCTGAGACACGGCCTGCCTGGCCCCACGAAAGTCAGGGGGCTGGGGACACCTTGGCCCACACAGGTGCCGGCCACGAGGGTGCCAGCAGGGTTGTGTGGTGCTGGGCCGTCAGCCCCCGTCTGGGTCCCGAGGGCATGATGTGTGCTGTGCTGGGTCCCTCGAGGGGGTAGGGGACGGGGTTTGAGCCCATCTGCTGTCCCTAGAGCAGGCTCCTCTGGGCGCGCTGGGGCCAGATGTGCTCTGGGGCATCCTGGGCTCTGCAGGGGCTGAGTGTCCTCCCCGTCTCCACCCGCTCCACACCAGGAGCTCCACGGTCATTTTGACCACAAAGGTCCCCAGACAGCGCTAGCCCAGGGTCCTCCCGGGGCAGAGCCGGGTGAGATACTCTCACCTGAGATCGAGTTTGGCCTTGAAAATCGTGGAAGGGGGATGCTGACTGCTGGGTGTCCCCTGGGAAGAGCTGGTGTGTGACCAAGCATTCTGAGGCTCAGTAGTTCTTTGAATTTATTATTATTATTTCAAGCATGTTCATAATTTCTCATTGAAGTCTTTTTTTTTTTTTTTTTTTTTTTTTTTTTTTTTTTTTTTTTTTTTTTTTGGTACCGGGAATCGAACTTACGACCTCACGCTTGCCAGGCAGGCACTGTGCCACTGAGCTAAATCCCCAGCCCCCAAGTCTCTTTTTTTTGTACTGGGAATTTAACTTATGACCTTGCACTTGCCAGGCAGGCTTTGTGCCACTGAGCTACATCCCCAGCCCCATTATTATTATTGTTGTTGTTAATTTTTTTGAGACAGGGTCTCAAGCTAGTCCAAGCTAATTTTGGACTCACAGTGATCCTCCTGCCTCAGCCTCCGTAATGCTGAGATTACAGGCATCATATCTAAGTAGGTCACCCTATTGCTAGTGTTCTCATTTTTTTAACAAATTTTTTTAGGGGGTTGCTTTTGAACAGGGTCTCGCTATGTAGTTTAGACTGACCTCGAACTCACTATGTAGCCGAGGCTGGCCTCGAATTCGTGGTGATCCTCCTCCCTCAGCCTTCTGAACGCTCGGGTTTCAGGCATGTGCCACCATGCCTGGCTTTTTAACACATTTTTGAAAAATATACCTAAAGGAAAATCGACCATTTTGACCAGGTCTAAGCGCCTGGCTTGGTGGCATTGAGTGCTCCCCACGGCTGTGCGCTGGCCTCACCGCCCCCTCCAGGACCCCCCACTTCCCCACGCCGACCCCGTCCCCTCCCCAGCCCAGCACCGCCGTCGTCCCTTTGTCCCTGGGGCTCTGAGCACACGGGGCCGTCCGGGGAGCGGGACCCTGCGGTGCGTGACGACCTGTGTGTGGCTCAGTCCCCGAGTGCAGGGCCTCAAGGCGCATTCATACTGTGGCAGGTGGCAGGACTCCCTTTCTTCTCCTCTCTTGTCTTTTCTGGAGCTGTGGATTGGACCCAAGGGCGCATACTACTGAACTACATTCCTTGAGTGCTATATTTTTTATTTTGAGACAGAATCTTGCTAAACTGCCCAGGCTGCTCGAGGCTGAGATCCTCCTGCTGCAGCCTCCCAAGAGCGCTGGGATTATAGTTGTGTGCCAATCATTCTTTTTTTTTTTTTTTTTTGCCAAACAATAAAGCCCAAGATGCCTGACTGACCAAGGAGTGCTCTGGCTGCCCTAGAGCCACCTCTCCCGTGTCCCTGTCCCATCCTGGACTATTTTGGTCACAGTGACAGGCATATCATGCTGACACTCTACGTGTCCGTGGGAAAGGCCATGGCTGGACAAGGCCTCCGGGCTTTCTCCTCTACCAGCGTCTGCCTGTCCTCCAGGGATGGGGGCCTCGGGTGTCATCTGTCCCCAAGGCTGCCTGTGTCCCCTGAGGCCCGCCATGGATTGACACACATTTTCTACAGAGGGGCAGATGGTAAATATTTCTGGCTTTGCAGAACAGTCCGCAGCAACTCCGCGCGGCTGTGAATAACTAGGAACAGCCGCAAGTGGGCGTGGCCGTGTGCCAATAAAACTTTATTTATAGATGCTGAAACTTGCATTCCATATAATTTGCCTGTGTGGAAAAATGTAATTCTTCTTGTCTTTTTCTTTTCTTCGCCCAGCCATTTAAAATTGTAAACTCAGTGGTTGGGGGTGCACCTCAGTTAGATCATGTGTGAGGCCCTGGGCTCCAACCCCAGCCCCACGAAAGAATAAATAAATAAATAAATAGTAAAAGATGGGAAGGCTCTTAGCTCTTGGGCTACACAAACACACATGGGCCATAGTTAGCTGCGTGTAACTGCATTATCCATGGTTAAACATCCAGGGTTTCAGCTACCCAAACACAGCCACAGCCTGAAGTAATTGAATGGAAATCCCCTCCAAAAAATAATTCATAAGTTATAAATAACTTTCATTATAGGATACCATTATATTTACTCTATTTTATAAGTAGGTTTTTCTG